TTTCTCAGCCTTACATCATCTTAAATCAGCAGCAAACTCAAAATATTGATGTTTTTTGGCAAAATTGATAAGCATTCTACGTTTTAAGAATTAACTCAAATGAGTTATTTCTTTGTTTAGTAATAAATAAGTGAAGTAACCTAAAAAAGTTATCTTAAAAAATAACTTGATTCCATCATGCCCCTGACTGATAGAAATGAACCTTAGTACAAAGTATTTGAAGCAGACTATTGCTGGAACTCTTCAGCATCAGAGGTTTAAACAAATAGCACATTGCTATGAAAAATCAACAACTTTATATTTTGTTGGATTTAAACCTGTCGCTGTGTTTTTGTATACACACTTGCACTGGTTAACTGTAGGATTGATAGAGAAACTTAGCCAAATCATGAATTAATTTATCAAACTATTTATTAAACTATTGTTAGTCATTATCTGGTATTTATCATTAGCACCTTCAAAGATGGGCTTCTCGCTGTGTCAATCATCTACCGCCTCGAAGTGAAAATGCGATCAGGCATGGCGATCGACCTTGCAGACAATACCTGCAAATGTTTACCAGTTATCCAAGTAACTTTCTTTCGATGCATGCATGGTTTTAATATGAATAAAGTGCGTGAACACCCACAATCATTCATTGAAATACATTCACAAGTTTAAAATCGACATTGTGCCACGTCCATGTGCTTGCAACTCACGTGTTTACCTGTGTACGTGAGTTAGAAATCAATCATTCAATGCTATTGTGATTGCATGTTTTTGACCACAAAATCAAGTACGGGCATGGATCAAAGGAAAAAATATCACATTTATATATTTTAATGACAAACACAAGCGCTAAAACTTATTTGCGCCAATGCGTTCCCACTTGCATTTGCGCTAAAATACGTATGCACCAAGTTTTCTCGTTTTACAGTAGAGTATATGTTTTATGATGCAACCATTGAGGTGAGCGCAGTTGTATACCATCAGAAGACCTTTACGTAGGCAATAACTCTGATTCACCTCAGTCTTCAAACTTCAAACCACATGAGATATTTATGGTATAGAATATGACGTCACATGACATTGTATGTTACCTGCACTTCCATAATCATTACGGGGTCTAAAAAGAGGATTGTTTTTTAATGAAAGGCATTGTAGAGTAGATGGAATTATTTTTGTCTTTTATTTAAGCTTTCCCTTAGCTGCAGGAAGTAAATCTTAATGATAACTGTGTGCCTGTTGTATTCTCCTTCATCATATGGAATTGTGGTTGGGAAAGAATTCTGGAAAGGTTAATTCATACAAAAATTTGCTTGACAAATATATAGATATCAGTTTGAATTTTCAATATTTTTACATGTTAGTCTTCCCGTGCTATTAATTTGATGGTGCAACTGTTAGGGTGAGGGCAGATAATTTTTTTTAGTACTCATCCAGACATCTATTCACTTTAGCATGTTTAGACAAAACTTAGATCTGCCTCTTCAACATGTTCAAGATTTTTGGAAGGACTAGACAATGATGTCACATGACACATGTATATATAAAGTTGCATTTCCAAAGCAGAGTCTCAAAACTCAGATATTTAAAGAAAGATTTAACAAAGAGTGTCTAAGGCCATAATAAACATGATAAAAAAATTAGTAGATTCTCATCCCCACCCACCCACCCCCCTTTTTTTTTTACCCAGCCTCGATCTTTTAAATTTGTTTTTCTTTGTCTTAATTCAGATTGGGATCAGTATAGAACTGTATAGAACATTCAACTTTTGTTTTATATCCTGCAAATGTCAGTGTGATTTTGACAGCTGCTGACAAGATGGTAATTGCTGTAATGTGTATCAAACAAGGATCACTGTTTGTGAAAAATTGTTGAGGATGTTAGTAAAAGAAATGTACATTTTAATGGACCTTTAGTATGACTTATTTGGGCATAATAGATAAATCTGCACCAGGGTTCGACACTAACGTTAGTCCGTTAGTCTCAGACTAATAAATTTTCATTTGGACTAATAAAATCTGAGGCTAATTAGTCCGAATGGACCAATAAAAATTCCTAGAAAATAATGTGAATAAATTACCGATGTCCGATTCTTGACAACTTTTACTGGAAAACCTGCCATGTATTTTTAGCTTTCTAACTTCTTGGCTGGTAGTTAGGTAATTCCAAGTCAATTCAGCTCTTAGTTTTATGAGTGATGGATATTCAGTTCAATTGTTTATTTACCAATTAAGGGCCCTCATGGGGCAAAAAGAAAGTACATTGTAAATTAACATTTATATATAGTCATATACATGTAATACAATATACATACACACAAGAGAGAAAGGGTTGCATGATTGATAGGAGAAAGACATAAAAAAGAAGGAATAAACTTGCAGGTAGTTCTTATACATATACATGTACATAAATTCTGCACAAATAAAGATATCTGTTATATATATAATTATATATAAATATATATACACATACATACATATATATACACATACACACATCATACATATGCAAATTTAAATATTTATATCTGCATACACATATTAAAGTTCATTTTTTTTTTTTTGCACAATTTATCATAAAACAGATCACATGCCTCAGACTTGACTTATGGTAATGCTTTTTGTAAAAATCTTCCAATAGAATTCAAAATGAAGTTAAATGTTTAAGCGATCATGATATGGCACATAAAAGAAAAAAAATGTCGAACGTTTTGGGTGTAATATACAGAGAAAAAGAACAAGATGGGAATTCGATCATACTTCCAGATTGCGAGATTTCAGTGAATCCGTGGAATAAAACACTTCACGTAAATGCTTTGTTTGATTAAGATAAAAAGTACATTGTCATGTTTATTTATTTAAATTAATAGTTCTCAAAACAATGATGCTTCCCTATTTATTGACAGCTAGATGATAAAATCGTGTGCGGACCAGTAAAAGTAAAGAATCACCAGTCCGGTTAGACTAAAGCCTAAAAATGTTAGTGTTGAACTCTGCTGCACCAACTGATCTAGCTGCAATAATGTGGCCCTCTCTGATTTTTTTTTCTGGGGGGGGGGGGGGGGGGAGAGGGCTACAACTCCTTAGGATCTCCGTAATGGTGCAAGTGTGGGAGTGATTCACTCCCACACTGATTTCAGCTCAAAGTTTCAGTAAATGGCTATTTTATTAGCATATCTTACCTGAACTCATAAAATGTAGTTATGCAAGACATAAATTTATCCAAACCCCCCCCCCCCCCCCAAAAAAAAAACAAAAAAAAAATACAGAACAATCCATATATTGGTTATTTTTCGTGTATGTCAACATCACAACTTGAATTTATCCGCCATGTTTACTAACCTTGATTGATTTTATTTTGGGACAACCAATGAGAATTCAGGATCTAGGGGGGCGGATCTGTTTAGGAATTCCCTTATTTTAAGCATAAATATCACTGTTTATGAAAAAAATATTACATGGAATGCTTTTATTTAATGATGTTTAGTGATATGATACAACACAAACATTTAGCAACACCGAAATTTACTTTATCAAGTGATTCTAAATTTCAAGCGCAAGTCTCAGTACATCACACGAGAACTGTCATGGCTACTGAGGAGAATGACTGGTAAACACGCCGATTTATTTTACTTGGTTTTCGCATATAAATTAAGGGCTATGTTGTTGATAGTGAATAAAAATTCCATCTTATTGGAAGTAAGTTGAATGCAAAAACAATTTATTTTGCCTGCAGTCGCCCGTATCAAAAAAATATATATTTGCACCATTACGGAGATGCAGTGGAATTGTAGCCCTCTCCTGAAAATATCAGATTAAAAAAAATCGGAGTGGGCTACAATATTGCAGTTACGACTGATCAGGTCAACAAAAAGTCTGTACAATGGATCAAAGAATAAAATAAAATGAAATAATATCTGCCCGCCTTGATTTTTCAGAAATTTGGATCAGGATGAGAATTTAGGAATTTTTATTATTATAGTCTAATCCACTAATCTTTCTGCACTTGGGCCCTCAGATTGTGTCAACCAAAAAGTAGGTCTCTGTTACCTACTTTTGGAATTTCATGGCAATATCTGAATATTTCAGATAACAAGAGGCTTAGAATCATCAAACTTTGTAATTGATGCATTTTGGTTTTTCAGATTGTGTTAACCAAAAAGTAGGTCATGGTGACCTACTTTTGAAATTTCAAGGCTTTACCTAAATATTTAGGATACTAAGAGTCTTAGAAAAGAAGTGATAGGGTTGTGCAATTTATCAGAAGAGCAGGTCTAGGCCTTTGGGCCTCTTGTTGGATATTTTGCTTGAGCATCTAAATCTGAGCTGTATGTACCTTTTGATGTCTAAAATGACAGGAAACAGTTTATTGGTAGTCTGTTTTTATTTAACAGGCTTTTAACCAGTGAGATTCATTGTATTAAAGGGATGATTCAAAACAAAAGTGAGTCAATTAGCCAAGTCAAACACAAAATATTTCTAAGGAACATCACCAAGACTTACCTACAAGGAGAATCACATGTGCACTAGGGAGCAAGCCCTTCCCCATTTCTGATTTACTGGGAGAAAATCTTGATACATATACCGGTATTTGATAATTATTTGTGATACACGTTTTTATGAATCACTGATCATAACTGCTTGCATCTAAAAAATATTCATACCTGAGTTTTCATATTTTATGTTTATCATGTTTATTAACATCTCATAGTGTATTACAAGTACTGGTTTGTTGACGGAATGATAGTGCTTATGTATTCATTTACATTATATACATAGGTGGAGTTGAGGCTAAAATTAAACTACATTTTCCCTTGGAATTCAATGAATATCAATTTTGTGAAGTTTTCAACCTGGTGCAGACAAAGATCTGTTAACATAAAAATATATAAGGTTAACAGGTGGTGAAAGAGAACTTTGTTTAGCTATCATGATGCTGTATATGAATTTTTATTCTTTGCACTTGCAGTCATTTATAGTAAGTGAGTATATCTATTTTCTTCTATTTTTCCTTTTCAGCATAAAGCATGATGAACAAAGTGATAAATTAATATACAGACAAAGGTGCCCTGCCGCAAACTGAGGTAGGATTTTTATAAATATTGTTGAACTTTATGTGTGAAAAAATTAAAAGACTTTTAAAAAAATATGGAGAGAAACTTTTCTCAAAATAGACATTATGTGCAGCATGTACACAATGACAGCCAGCAGTTTCCTCATGCTCGGAGGATGGATTTTATGAATCCTTCGATGCAAAATCAATCTCCATCAAGAACTGGAAATAGGTTTTTGCTTCACGAACCAGGATACCCACAGGCCAGAGGTTCTGGCCCAAATCAGTATATGTATCCCCATGGGAATGCAGAACAAGGAGGAAACATGGTACCTCCACAACAAGTATACAGTCATAGAGTTGGTGTCAACAATCCAAGGGCAGGAGTGCCCATGAATAATCAGCCCTCTCCACATGAAATAAATCAGGGTCAACAAGACTATGGTAACTTCAACCAAAACAGAAGACCACAAAATCAGACCTCAAACTTTCCCAGAGGAAGAGGTACAGCTGCCAGAGCACATAGTTTAGATCCTGGAGGTAATGCATTTCAGCCACAGAAATTTCAATCCAATATAATCAACCAGAAACCAGGAAGTGCACATCTGCTGAAAAACCCTTCACACAGTACTGAAGGTTTTCCAATTCCACCACAACAGTCAACTGAAACTGGAAGAAGTCAATACAGCAGAGCTGGAAGGATTTACAAAGATCACTCTGATGTTGAGAGTAACTGGCAAAATCAAGGTAGCAATTCCCAAATCACTGAAAAGGAAGGAAAAAGTAATATCAAGTTACCTAGTGAGAAGAGAAATGTTAGTGCCTCTTCTGCAAAAAATAAAAAGTTCAAAAAGTGCATATTATCAGAGTGCCACAACAGTGTTATTAATATGAGAGATCACATGTTGAAATGTCATCTACCCAAAATATTTAATGTGAATCTTCCTCTTGATAAACCTGCTCTAAATGAACTGCGCATGCAAGCTTTGACAGAGTTGACGTCTTCAATTCTTGGAACCACTGCAAACATAGAAGACCTTTGTGACTTTTTACGAATGCAAAATGTCATTCCCACAACCGTACCAGTTGAAGGAAAAACAGAAGATACCATGAGAGCCTTTTGTCGTCATCACGGATATAATGAACCCAAAGCCTTTCTTGTTCACACAATAAACAGTCCAGCTGTGCTATTACATTGGAAAGCCATGTCTTATATATTGCAGTACATAACACCTACTCAGCAGGAAGAGTTCCACAAACTCTTCCATGCAGAAGGTTTAGAATTTGAGTGGGAGATGTTGAAGAACAAAAAACTAAAGCAAGAAAAGGATCAACGTAGTAATGAAGTCAACATCCATCATCAGTCATCTGATAATCTAGAAAGGATTGGGAACGTTGAACCTAAGTTTGATGTCCCACTGAGTCAGTTGCTTGTGAACCAAATAGTTCCATCTTCTCCAGAAAATCAGTCAGACTCAGGATTTGGACAGTCCAGAAAAAATGATAATGAACATGCTGACCTTACAAACCAAGGAACAAAAAAAGAAAAACTGGACCAAGAGCTGGAATTTTCTACTAACATCCCTCAAGAAGAGGTCCGTGATCTGCAAATGGAGCTTGGATCAGTCCATTCATCAAATTTTAAAAGTAATGAAGAGGATCAGCTGCAGAATGGATCCACAGCTCAAAGTGGAGATGCCAATGGTTTGATCAGGTCACAGCGTAGAAGAAGGAAACGTACTCAAAATCAGAAAAATAGGAAAGAACGAAAGACACGGAGAAAAATCACAAGAAAGAGAGAGGCTCGCAGAATTGATCGGCAGATAAAGAGGCTTAATGCACGTATTGGTTGTCCAGTCCCGGGATGTTTTGCAACAACAGATCTGAAACTTCATGCTTACAAATATCACCTCCCTAAAATCTTTGATCTGGATCTTCCAAATTCTGATTCAGATCTTCAAAGCATGCGTTGGTTAACACTCCGAGACTTGACCTTTTATATTCTAGGTGTAGATGCTCATGTTGAGGACCTGCTGGAATTTATGAGAACCAAAAATGTTTTGCCACAAGAGGTTAAAATAACACCTTCCTTAGAAATTGCTATGAGAGCATTATGTCAGCATCAAGGACTGGAGATCCCTATGCAATTCACACTGTGGCCCCCAAATAGCCCTGCAATCTTACTTCATTGGAGAGCCCTTCTGGGACTATTGCAATATGTTTCACCACAGCTTCGAGATCAGTTCAAATCTGCTTTTGCTAAAGCAACAGTTGGTGGGTTGAGCTTACAGGATGTGCACAGTCTTGGTCACAAAGGCCTTCATTTGTTAAAAGATGTTGAAGAGACAGCCTCTCATGTCAAAATGGAAAGAGAAGAAGGAAATTTCACAGGCAATATCTCGTTTGATGAAAGTCCACAAAATTTTAGTGAAAACTTATACTTTGGAACTGAAAGACCTGACATTTACCAAGAAGACAGAGATTACATTCCTTCTCATCAAGAACAGCATGAACAGTTTCATAGACAAACTCCTCCTGAGGACATTGATAGGCAGTACATGGTTGGCCCAGACAGACCATATGAAGAAATCTATATGCCAGAGCGACTGTCCCTAATGGACAGTCACTTTTACTTTGGGCGTCTCTGCATGTTGTTTGATGTAAGAGATATTTCTCCATCTGGTCTGTTGTCAAATTTAGCAGTTCATGCACAACCAAAAGTCCCAGCTGACATTATAGGTGGAGTCATGGTCTACAGCAACCCAAAGTCTTTTTCCCTCAGTAATTTCCCCAATTACCCTGGATGGAGAAATTGCTTTGGAGTGGATGCATTAGCCTCTCCTAATCTTCTGCAGGAAGAGTTTGAAGCCATTAGTGTCTTGACCAACAGTGCTGATGCTGCCCTTGGAGACATTGGTTTGGACCGCTCAGCTCATAAGGAATCTTGGGTGGAACAAGAACTGACATTCAGACAACTTCTTACCCTCAGCACACCTGCTCAACCGATGATCTTAAAGGTAACTGGACCCCAAGGGGATCCATACAGTTTGGATGTCAGTTCAAGAGTTAGAGACCTTGTCCGAAGGCAATGCAGTCCAGACCAACACATCCATATCTGTAACTTCAGGGGAGAAGCATTAATGGTGAAGGAATGGCTAGAGGATTTTCCAAACTGTTTCTTTGGATTTTCAAGAAAAGTCCTGGAATTTGATGAACAACAAGTGAAAGGGCTCCAAGCAGTGCCTGATGACCGACTCCTGCTGGAATCCGATGTGTCACTGCCTGGTGTTCAACAGAACATTCTAGAAAACAGTCCTCTATTCCTTGGAGAAGTGGCATCTGCTGTGGCAACTATTCGCAATGATACCTTGGAAAATATTGCTCATAAAACTGTGTCTAACACATGTCGTCTGTACAATCTCTAAATTTTCTTGCTGAATTCAATTCAGTAACAAAATAATTTTTTCTGTCCATAATCAAAGAACAAATACATTTAGCTTAAGCTACATTTTACATGTATTTGTAAGTGTAAATAATTATTTTAAGTGTGAATAACATTCATTCATCATGTCTATCAAAACATAAACATGCATATTGATAAGTATTTTGTACTCTAGATGATTTATTTGATTATAATGGGTCGTGTCTACTATTCAAGATGCTTGCAAAATGAATGAAGCAAAGAATTAATAATCAATAATATGTAGAAATAATGCATTATATGTATATTCAAATATTGGCCAGCCTATTTTATTTTCACTTTGGAAGTAATATGACCCAATACATCAAACAAATTTTGCTTTCTTAAATTTTGATGCCCTGTGCACTATATACATGTACCTTTAAAAAAGTATACCGGGTATGTAAAAACCATGAACATGTAATTGTGCATCTGTTTACCTGGAGTATCAGGTAAAAATTGGTGCATCATGTCATTTGACAAGTGTCTGGTCTCTATGATATGGCTCATGCTTTGAACTGCAACACTTAGTCTGTCAGAGTTCATGATAAAAGGCATCTATTTGTTTATAGATAAACTAGTTTAGATTTTATTATATAGGTACAGATATACCTTTCTTGTGTGAAACTAAAGAATACAAAAAATAGTATTTGTTGTACATGTACTTGTAACAATATCAAGTTAAAAAAATGGCAAAAGTTTAAGATCAAATGTAATGTTTATAAATATGTGCATTGCATGTATAGCTATATACACAGTGTACAATGATCATGTCATTGTGTAATTATAGTGCTCATAGTAAATAAAGTTGTTCATTTTCTTTTGTTAGAATAATCTCAATAAATAACTTGAATTGATTTATCTTGTAATTGAGGTGGATTGTGAAAGTAGGATAATCATAATTTTATATTTATAGATTTAAATTTAATTTTCCTTTGTTCACTGATTGATTGGCCTTGGGATCCATGTTTGGCACAGTTATCTTTGAGATTCTGTGCACAATAACGAGATTGGAATAACAGTAGAATTTTGTATCAGCTTTTGTGAGATCCTGATTTCAGCAACATTTGATAAAATTAAAATTGACACACATTCTCAAGCCTTTTTACTGCAATCTGTTGAATATTAATTTTGGGACTAATGCAACTTGAATACTGCAATTCCTTGAAGATTTCGAACAAAGAAAGATTAGAATCTGCATCTAATATTGAAGCCAAATAATAAATTTATTGAATGAAGAGATGGTTTATGCTAAGTCAAAATGACAAATGAACAGGTCTGTTCCCCTAGATTACCCTAACTAACCCTTAAGCTTATGACAAAAAGCATTATGGCAAATGGAGATGTTTACGTTTTTGTTTGAGAGTAAAAGGGGAAGACATTTAATCAAGTTTTCTCCTTAGAGGTCCATTCCCCAGTCTGGAATCTTTGCAGTTAAAGAATTGACCTATTTGGACTCCTGAATAGTTGTCAGTGTGCATACATGTGGGTGAGGAGAGGGGGGGTGTGAGGATTCATTTGGACTGTTACAGAGGGCAATTAAGTCATATTCATTTAAAAAGAAAGGGGGCAAGGGTGAAAGATAAAGAACATACTAGTACATGTATGTAGCTGTGCTGTAAGCTACTACATATGCATGTGACATGATTAATTTTCACAATTAATGAATATACACAGAGATAATGTTAAAATGTAACTTTCACTTATGGCCACCATTGTTAAGAAGAGGATGATTTCAGGAAGCAAACTTTTGAAGTCAGAGGTAACAGATATGATTTCTTAAACTCTGTTATAAAAGAAAACCAATGCCATTTACCACACCTGCAAGTCTATAAAAGCAACTGTTGCAAGAATGCAAGTGGGTTTGGCAATGGTATTGGTGCAGCCGGCTCAGACCAGGTGCCAATATGAATTTTGTTTAATTTTTGGTATAAAACTTGGGTGACCTTTCCTGTTGGAAAACAGACGTGGTCCCTAAATTTTCAAAGCATACAAATAATCAAAGCAAAAGGGTTCTTTTGGTACATATTGCTTTGTTAGTATATGTAGTATGGCAACAAGTGTTGCCATATTTGCCAGCTGGCTGCACGCTTTGATGTTACATTGAAATGTGTATGATTCTGACAGAATAGCTGGGTTGATACAGTCAATTTGGTCAGCTTGCTTTTCATTGTCATGAAGAAGAACAGATATTGTTAGATACTTTACTGATGTTACTAATTTAATAACATGAATGATTATATTTTCTTGTGTTCAGACTAAAAATGCCTGTATTACATTAGAAGTATTATTTGTGATGAAAATCTTGCATTCTGTTGCGATCCCATCAATTATTTTTATGCATACTTTGTTTCACACAGCTATATATTTTAAAATGTGCAACTAGCTAAATCTTCTTTGTGAATTTTATAGCTGAACTATGTTGGAGGGATTAGCAGCCTATCTTCTCAACAATTATGTTGGAAAGTATGTGGAAAACCTCAACACAAAACAGCTGTCCATTGCCCTGATACAAGGTGAGTTTTCTGATAGTTCATCAACTCTCTACTCACTCAGTCATGAAATATGAAGATAACAAACAGTAAAAAAAACTCTAAACACATCAGAGGTGGAATCAAGTGCCAAGGATGAGTAAGCATCCCCTGTTGAACACACTCCCCATGTGCTCCTTGTCATGATAAGGAAAAATGGAAAACTTGTAGACAATTTAGTATGTAAATCATGGCCTAATAATTAGTATGAAAAACGTCAGTCAGCGTGTGCATTCGACTTAATGAAACATTGTATTTGCTGACAAGGTAATTGTATCAACCATAGAACTTGCCAAATGATGACATAAAAGGAGACTGTTGATATTTTATTTCTTTTGTCATCAACTTGTTTGTCAATAGCTTGCCACATTTTAGAAATTTTTTGTAATGTGTAGAGCATATTCTTGCATATTTTATAAACTGGGAGCACATAAACTCAGTATGCAGTTGATAAGGATATATTGCTACATAAGTAAGAGAAGTTAGAGTCATTACGTATATCATGTGTTATTTTTTTTTTGTTTCATTTAGGTAATCAAATAGACCCCCTCCCCCCCCCCCTCCCCCCATTTATAATACTTGTACTGATCACCACAGTAAATTATAGGTTAAATTAAAGATGGAAAGTGTGTTGGGAGATAATTGTTGGATGAATTCTCATGTGGAATTGTAAATAGTAATGGGAACAATGATGAAAATGTGGGTGCTTTGGATCTAGGTCCATTTCAAGTTTGAAGATTGGCACTTGGCAATCAGAAATGATAAAATTGTTTCTTCATAATGTAGTTTCATGTATATAAGCTGTGTTAGAGAGTGACATGATAAGTTTCAACCAATAAAATTGCGAAACGGAGACATTCCACCATTTATGTTAAAGTATGATCTTCACAAATGTTGTACAGTCAAAAGTTGTCATTTAACATAAGTTTAAATATTTACATCCACTGAATATTTTCTCCTTTATTTCTTAAGAAAACAATTGCCGTTTATCTGCAGTCAGTAAGCACGCACTGAGCACAGACTTCTTGAGCAGTAGCTCTTCCATCAATGAAACATACAATAATGAATGTATCAATAATACACTTTTTCATCTACTAAATCGTACTTTAAAGGATTATTTGTACAGATATTAATATAAACAATAAAATGTCTTTCTTTGTTTGTTAGTATGGGAATTAGTGTTGCAGCTGTTGCAGAAAAAATTTACCTATGTTGGTCATGCATTTTTTCTGCAACAGCTGCACCGTTAATTCCTATACCAACAACGGTAAAGGGTGGGTTCGCCCCGATTATCTGTTCGCTCTGAGTGGTTTCACCCCAATTATATCTGTTTCCTAATTTAAAGGTTTCAAATTTTTCCATGGGTGTATTTTGGCAGTTTGCTATGACAAATCTTCAATGTTTATGTTTGTGTTTTTTGCATATGTGCTATGGAAAATATATATTATTATAACAGTAACTCAATCCGAGGAGCTGTATCACGTCAAGTTGACAGGCGTGGATCATCAGATGAAACGATACACGAAACGTACTATTAGTATTGATCGAAAACTCAGCTGAATTTAATTAAAGAACTCAATAATTATATTTATCTAAACACTCATTAATCAAACGATTTTTGCTTTATAAACATCAAGCACACTGTATGTTTGAAGAAAACCACTCGGGGGGAAGCCACTTAGGGCGAACAGGGAAATGGCGCGAAACCACTCAGAGCAAACAGGTAATTGGGCGAAACCAGCCGCATTCCCAGCAACCAAAGAAAGCATTTTATTGTTTGAACAATCCCTGGAAATTTGATGTAAAAAGATAAAATGTTCAATAAACATGGGCTACAGTAGACAGTGGTAGATATTTCTGTAATCAATTTATGTTTGAAACTTGCAAATTTTTGAGAAGTAAACTAATTTGAGAAGTAAAGTTAGTGAAGACGAATTTCACATTTACGAAAGTAATTTCCCTTTGCGGGGTTAATCGGGGGTCAACCGGCGTAAGACTGTTTTCCATCTATAACATACCAACTTTTTGGGACAATATTTTGCAAATTAAATTCGTTTGAATGTGTTCATTGTGTTTTTTATGTTGTCCCGTACTAAGGCAATTCAGGAACGGGTCAAAATTGTCTGAATCCGTTTGGAGCTTAAAAATATTTACAGGAAAATTACAAAGGTTATAGTGACAAATGAGTGTTACGCCGACAATGGGAGATAACTCTAAGAATGTGAAAGTCATTCTATTGCAGACGACAACCTGTATGGATAAAAAATAGCACAAGATATTAAACACGTAATCGGGAAATATAAGTGCTAAAATGAATGTTAGAAATCACAATCAATTTTAACATAACTCATTGAAAGATATTATGCAATTGGTCTAAATTAAAAACAAAAGTTGATGAAATACGAAACTAACCTAACATGCACCCTATGAAGATGGCAGACGAACCTGCATGTTGCATGGCAGGAGATGACTCAAAGTATTACAGCTAATCTGCATTTGCAGGAGTGTTAATAATATTGCAGTTCATTTATAATAAGAAAAAAACATACAAATGTAAGTTGAAGGGTATTTGATACGTGGTATATAAAAATAAATGCAGAGATTTTTGACAAATCAAATGTCAGCACAACGTTTTGATGTGAAGGAAGATACCTTATAATTAAAATACACCCACAATTTTATTATAACGCTGTACATCGTAGTAAAATTGTAGACATCTGGCAAGTTCTTACAATAATTATCTCAAAAAATAAATGTAAGTCGCTGTATAAGACTAAGTCTATAGGTCATTGATTGTAAACAAAAGCAACTGAATGCATTTTATTTCTCAGACAGTACTTAATCTTTTAATTATTTTGAACAGGTTATGTAGAATTGGAAAACTTGCCTCTGAAGAGAGATGCTTTGAGTAGTTTAGACCTGCCTTTGCATGTCAAATCAGGTAATTAAAAATAATCCAAAGAATATCATTTGATCTGCTTGATGATGTACATTTAGCAAGTTGGATATCAAAAATATTTTAAGTTCTGTTCCTCACTGGTCTGGTAACATTATGCATGAAAAACAAGTGTGTAATGAAAAAGGATTTCAAATTGCAAAATTTTATTGAATTAAAATTTCAATTAGCAAGACACACTTTCTGGAAGACTGTAAAATCCCTATTTTCATGGTGGTTTAATTTTCAGTTTTTCATGGTATGAAAAGAGCTATGAATTTATGTCATTCACAAAATATTATTACAAGTACAGTTAAAATCTACATTTCTTTAAGCGTTAATTCAAATTCCCATGAACCCACATTTTTTCCTCAAACCATGAAAATTTTTTCCCATGAAAATAAGGGATTTACAGGTCTGGGCCCTGTTTTACAAAAGAACTTAGGACTTAGACCAACAATATTAGCTGTCCATAACATCTTGCCTACCAAATATTTTAGATAAAATTGCTTGCCAAAAATTTCCAAATTCTTGAAAAATTAGATTATATACACATACGTTATCTTCAAATTAATGTTATCTGCAAAAAAATGTTTTGGTCATTGTCATAAGTTTATTTGTAAAATGGGGCTGAGGAGTAAAGGCATAATGTTGAATTCTCTGGTTCTTCAAGCAGTGCAATTATTGTCTTTGTGCAATGTTAGGTTTCATTGGAAAGATCAAGGTTCAGGTCCCATTTAATAAACTTAGCAGTGAACCATGGGTAATCTCCATGAAGAGGCTGTACCTGGTGGCAGGGCCAGTCAAACACTCCCAGGTAACCTTAGCAACCAAAATAAATACATGTATGTTAATCATGTTAATAAAGTTCTAGTCATTGTTTTCTACAACTTATGATTTTTGTATTTCCTGATTTTTGGAATAATTGTATGATTACTTATAAGTTAACCTAAACAAATTTAATTAAGCATTTTTAATTTTTTTAATGCTTTTTTTTTACTGCTTTTGACCTCAACCAACAGTTTCCCAGGTCTCTCCCATTGTCTTGGGACAGCAGTCTGAATGTTTCTCTTGTATTTATGCTTGAAATAAGTGTATATTCTGCTTCATTGTGAAAAAAAAAAATCTGTGTTGTTTATACCAGTACAAATTTCTTCACAGTTTAATGAGGAGAAAGAGAAAGAATATGAAGAAACCAAGAAAAAAGCCATGCTTCAGGCTCTGGAGGAGAAATGGAAGGTAAAAATCAGGAATGGCTAAATATTATCATCTTATGAAGAAAACCATTTCTGCAACTGTAAATATTTTTAAAACAACATGTATTCAATTAATACATGTAAATAATGTATATCATTTTAATCAGGTCGATTTGGTTTTCATCCAGTGCTTCAAAGTAACAAAATATTTGGATAAGCTGAATTACATGACATTGTATGGATATATTACAATCTAATTAAAATAAGATGTCCCGAATCCGCTATCGCTTCTCAAACATCTAACAACATCCCATTCGGGGTCACGTCAGAGCGACCTTTCGATTATGAATAAACATAAAAATTTTGGCCAATCAGATTCAACCTTCTGTATTCAATTCTAAAATTAGTTCCACGGCTACATCTCTATATTATTGATGCTCAGTAGACTGTCTTACGTTGAATTAAAGTAATTTTGGTATAAATTGAACGTTAGTCCGCCAATCTGGCATTCTTACCTGAATAACCCAAACGAAAATGCACAAACTACTATATATCCCGCAAGTCACATTCATATATAGCACGGTCTTTACCATGCATATTTTGTTTACTACGAAACCTCTCGGGCGTTTAGGTTTGGCAGTAAAAAAAAGAAACGCATCCGAACTATAAGCCAAGATTTCGACGACGGCGATTTCATTGGGTAATCGAAAGGACGCTCTGACGTGACCCCGAATGGGATGTTGTTAGATGTTTGAGAAGGGTAGCGGATTCGGAACATCTAATTTTAATTAGATTGGATATATTACAAACTCTTTTCAATGTTAAAAAGATTGCACTGCAACATTGTATACTACCGTAAATACTCGCATATAAGTTGGTCCGCCTGTAAGTCGGTTGAATTTTTTGCAGTTATTTTGGAGGGATTTGCCATTGACCTGCTTATAAGTCGGTACCACTTTTTTGCCAGAATTGGTTGACAATTTCAAATCAATGCTGTCATGTTTTATCCTGGTTTCAATCAATATTTATTGAAAATGACATTGATATTTTAATTTTAATTCATTAAAAAATAAGTAACGTACACTTTAGATAAAGATAAACTATTAGAATTTATAAATACTTGTACTTTTAATATGCATAATCTTAGAATACATAAATGATTTTATAAATAAAGACTTTGGTCAACGATAATTGGCAGGGTTCTTTATAAAATACTACTTTGGTCGTCCAGAAAAATACAATCTTTTTATGACTCGCCAATAAGTCGGACACAGAGTTTTGGACCAAAATTTAACTCCCAAAAAACTGACTTATAGGTGAGTATATATGGTAATAAGTAAGTTAGAAAAAAAGTCGTTTTTTGAGTCTCAGTTATGTTTGTAGATCTATGAAGAGAAAAAAGAGTCCTATGGATCCTCATGGTTTTCATATGGAACTTCCATAGCCACCAACATTTTGGAGAATTTACAGGTAATTACAAATCACAGTTTAAAAAATTCAAGGATTCTCCAGCTCAGCTGAATGATTTAATTTAAAGCATTTTATATTACAATGAAAATAATTTTTCTGACATTGTTTCAGATACAATGTACATGTTCTTGCTCCTATAGTCACTCTAATGAAAGGAATATCAGTAGGAGGCATTTAGAATTAATTCTGTTATTATGATGTTAAGTACATATGTACCTGAAACCTTATACATTGTCTCCTTACTACAGCTGAACATAGAAGATGTCCATATCCGATATGAAGATGATGAGTTGGTGCCAGACCATCCTTTTGCCTTTGGTATTGTTATCAAAAGTCTTAGTGCTCAGAGCACTGATTCTGAATGGGTATGTCCAGTGAATTCATTCATCATATGACTCATGTACATATAACTTTTTCTGCCTTTTAAAGTTAATTAATAAGAACCTTCATTGCTTTAGCCTTTTACTAAAAATAAAAAACAAACAAACAAAAAAAACCAAAAAAAAACAAAAAGAACAAAAAAAACCCCAAAAAACATGTTTTTGTCAGAGTGAGCTCAAGGACAACATACATTTTGTCAGACCGAAGAGTCAAGCTGTTTACCTGAGGGCATTATAAGCTGAAAGTAAAAACAGTTTGAGGGTTTGGCAACTAGCATTCTGGTTGAGAACGTAGTCAATGGTTTGTTATACGGTACCTTTTATGTAAATGTCAACAAAAAAGGCAAATTAGATAATTTATAGCTTCTTGACTCATTTTGGATGAGCCCAACAACACTGAGAAAAGTTTGAGGTAAAGTTACTGCTCCAATATCTTTCACTGACTGATCCAATATCATATTTTTTTAATTGCTCAGTAAACACATTGGAAATGTTACAATTTTTTTGCAAAGATTTATGTATGACACTTTTTTGAAGGTATAAAAAGACTTGATATAAGACATCTGGAAAGAAATTAAAAATTAATGCAACACTTTGAGTTATTACTGGTCACTCTGTTAGAATATGTTGCAAGAATGTGTTGTGATGAGTGGTGTGAAGATTCTTGAACACAGCAGTTTTCTCCTGTACACTTTACAAGTTGAATGTAATGTGAAAGTGAATGTCATGATTACAAAACACTGACAAACATATAGTTATCAAGTCTGACTCTGTCAGGGGCATATCATGGAAATTCTACTGAAAATGCCAAAAAGACAGCCTCCCTTAAGTGGACATAAGAATATTGGATTGCTTTTACATGTATAAGTTAATTTATTTCTTTATTAGATAGTTTTCGACTGGCCTGAATTTAGCAAGAGTTATTTCCCGTTGGCTGCCATATTGGAGGTCCAACGAGCAAATTTTCCTCTTTGAGCAACCAATTTTAAACTTGTATGGCAGAAGTATAAGGGCAAAAATCTTTAAATTACTAAAATTATGAATTATTAAAAGGAAGCTTGTGTTAATATAAATTCGTAAGAAAAATTGTGTTATCTTCACCCAATTGCCCAGTATGACAAGTTTAAATTGGTTGAATAATGAAAGAATTCGGGCTTGTATACCTACAACATGGCTACCAACGGGAAACAACTCTTGCTAAAATCGTGTCAATCGAAAACTGTCTATAGTTACCATCTATCAAATGTGAAAATTTATTTTCAGAGATCCAATGTACGCAGTGTACAAGACGTACGGTATAAACTGGTGGACCTACAGAACTTCTCCCTTTATCTGGATACTGAGGCTAGCATGATAGGGGACCTACCCCGCAATGATCTCTATGTAGGTGACATTTCTTTTAAACTAGATAATGCATGGGGGGTGACTTGAGGGGGTGTCTTTAAAAGAGCCTTGTTTCAGTCAAATACCTGTGAATTAAATCTGGGAGAATCTCTATCTAGGTTACTTTGATCTTCAAATGAGGAGGGGTCTACCATCTTTGTGTGTCAGTGTAAATTAAATTTCTATCTAAATGATAGGGGACTTGTATTAGCTTCTCTATATATTTAAGTGATTTCTGTCCAAATGATGGAGACCAATCATTTTCTCATCTCTGTATTATACTATAAAATACTTATTTCAATCCACCAGTAGTTGAAATGATAGGCGACCTGTTGTCTTGATACCACTATGTAAGTGACACATTTTCCTTAAATGGTAACAATGGACTTGCTCTTTGATGATCACTTGTTCCCAATAAAAAAAAATGGAAAAAAATGGGACAACTTCCATGTTATGGTCTCTATAAAAAAGACTAATTTCTGTCCAAAAAAATGCAAAAGACCTTGTGTGTGTGACATTAATTTCTGTATGAGAATCTTTATGCAAGCAGTACATGTATATGAACTATACAGGTACATTTGAATGCAGATTTACAATTTGATTGTGACTGAAGTTTATATCAATGCTGAAGAGTTGATTTGAAAAATACACATGTCTATATAAAGGTTAAAGTGAAATAAGCTGTTTGTTTTGACCAATACTTTTTTAGCTCACCTGAGCCAAAGGCTCAAGTGAGCTTTTCTGATCAAAATTTGTCCGTTGTCTGTCGTCGGCGTTGGCGTCGTCGGCGTCGTTGTTGTCGTAAACTTTTTACATTTTCATCTTCTTCTCCAGAACTACTGGGCCAATTTCAATCAAACTTGGCACAAAGTATCCTTGGGTAAAGGGGATTCAAGTTTGTTCAAATGAAGGGCCACTCCCTCCTCAAAGGGGAGATAATTACGAAATAGCAAAAAATTAATGGCATTATTGAAAAATCTTCTTCTCAAGAACCAATGGGCCAGGAAAGATGAAACTCATGTGGAATTATTGTCAGGTAGTGTAGATTCAAGTTTGTTCAAATCATGACCCCCGGGGGTAGGGTGGGGCCACAATGGACGATCAAAGTTTTACATAGGAATATATAGGAAAAATCTTCAAAAATCTTCTTCTCAAGAACAGCAAAGCTATGATTGGTCATATTTATATGAAAGCATCCTCATGTGGTGTAGATTCAAGTTTGTTCAAATCATGCTCCCGGGGGTAGGGTGGGGCCACAATGGACGATCAAAGTTTTACATTGGAATATATAGGAAAAAATCTTCAAAAATCTTCTTCTCAAGAACAGCAAAGCTATGATTGGTCATATTTATATGGAAGCATCCTCAGGTGGTGTAGATTCAAGTTTGTTCAAATCATAACCCCCGGGGGTAGGGTGGGGCCTCAATGGACGATCAAAGTTTTACATAGGAATATATAGGAAAAATCTTCTTCTCAAGAACAGCAAAACTATGTTTGGTCATATTTATATGGAAGCATCCTCAGGTGGTGTAGATTCAAATTTTTTCAAATCATGACCCCCGGGGGTAGGGTGGGGTCTCAATGGACGATCAAAGTTTTACATAGGAATACATGTATATAGGAAAAATCTTCAAAAATCTTCTTCTCAAGAATAGCAAAGCAATGATTGGTAATATTTATTTGGAAGCATCCTCAGGTGGTGTGGATTCAAGTTTGTTCAAATCATGAACATCGGGGAGTAGGTTGGGGCCACAATGGATGACAATTAAAGTTTAACATAGGAGAATATAGGAAAAATCTTCAAAAATCTTCTTCTCAAGAACAGCAAAGCCATGATTGGTCAAATTTATATGGAAGCATCTGCAGGTGGTGTAGATTCAAATTTGTTCCAATTGTGACCCCTGGGGGTAGGGTGGGACCACAATGGACAATCAAAGTTTTCATGGAGTATATAGGAAAAATCTTCAAAAATCTTCTTCTCAAGAACAGCAAAGCTATGATTTGTCATATTTATTTGGAAGCATCCTGAGGTGGTATTGATTCAAGTTTATTCAAGTCATGACCCCCAGGGGTAGGGTGGGGCCACAATGGACGATCAAAGTTTTACATAGGAATATATAGGAAAAATCTTCTTCTCAAGAACAGCAAAGCAATGATTGGTCATATTTATATTGGAAGCATCCTCAGGTGGTGTAGATTCAAGTTTGTTCAAATCATGACCCCCAGGGTAAGGGTGTTGCCACAATGGACGATCAAAGTTTAGCATAGGTGTACATAGGAAAAATCTTCAAAAATCTTCTTCTCAAGAACAGCAAAGCTTTGATTGGATATATTTTTTTGAAAGCATCCTCAGGTAGTGTAGATTCAAGTTTGTTCAAATCATGACCCCTGGCGGTAGGGTGGGGCCACAATGAACGTTCAAAGTTTTACATAGGAATATATAAGAAAAACCTTTAAAAATCTCAAGAACAGCAAAGCCACGGTTTGTAATATTTATATGGAAGCATCCTCAGATAGTGTAGATTCAAATTTGTTCAAATCATGACCTCCAGGGGTAGGGTGGGGCCACAATGAAAGTTCAAACTTGTAGAGAAAAAAAGTCACAGTTAGTCAAAAAATTATGTAAGCAGTGTAGATTTAATTTTGGTTGATTTAATTAAGTCATACCCCCCCCCCCCCCCCCACTCCCTTTTAGGGGTAGGTTGGGACCATTTATGCATTTAAGCTTTTCAATACTAAACTGATTTTTCCTTTTTTCCTAACCACAGTGCTCAGGTGAGCGATGTGGCCCCTGGGCCTCTTGTTCTGTTTTAGACTGCTCTACAGAGTGAAAAGTTTGTCTCTTGTAAGACGAAAAAATTTAAGGTCAGTATAGCTTAGTGAACCTGCAAAATTAAAAAATTGTGAAGAAATGATGTATTTTCACAACTTACATGTTCATGGCTATTATTCATTGACTGAGGTTCTCTTTCTCTGTGAATTAAGATACTGCATTTACTCAAAGAAACTAAAAAAAAACCTCTCATTATAAAGAGTTGATATGTATGCTGCACAGAAACGAAAACGATGATGTAACTTTGATTTTTTTTTTTTACTTTTCTTTACAATTACCTTTTCAATTACTATAAGAAAAGAAGTTTTCCTCTTTTTTACACAAGTTTATACTATTATGTACTTTTAGGAACACGATTACATCCTCTTCCCGGTCAGTGCCCAGACAAAGCTTAAGAGGAACACATCCTCCTTGCCGCTCCGATCCCCGGACAATCCACGGATCAACATGGATGTGTGTCTGGAGACAGTGGCCTTCTGTCTGAGTGATGAACAGTATCAATGTATTATAGAGTGGCTCAAAGAGATGGAACGATACGAAAGACGCAGGAAAAATCGGAAATGGAGGCCGGCAGTGAAAGTCAAGAATGGGTAAGATTGGAAATTGCTTAAATCAATTTCTCTCTGTGAAGCAAAATTTTAAGTTTATTTTTATGTTCTACAGTGGCTTCCATTTTATCGGATAGCGGTTTAACGAATATTTCGGCTATTTCAATATAATATCAGAGCACAAAACCATTTCTTATATATTTATTAATAATTCCACCTGATATTCTGATGAGAAAGTATTGGAATTTCGTTTTATCCGATACAAAAATTTGGACTATCATAGTGTTTTTTGATAATCAGCACCTTGTTCACACCTCCAACTTCGTATGTGAAGCCTTTGTTTACACAGTTTGACACCAATTACCTTGACTGGCTTGAGTACGACAATGAGGGGATTAGTTACGGCTGGACGCACACAGGCACCTTACCTGTGTCAATAGTGGGCATAGTAAATAGATATGTTTTGATTACAGTTGTGGTGATCAGCTTGGGTTCAATGATGCACTTGTTAATTATGACAATTATTTGCAATTTTTTCGGCATGAAATTTTAATTATTGAACTGATAAGCTTGTGTATGACAATTTGCTTGGATAATGAAATAAGCCTATTCAATCGTTTAACTTGATCAATTGGTTTAATATTTATTCACTTTTCAGTGCAAAATTTATGGTAAAAATCATATATGGCCCATTCTATAAAAATACGTCTCAAAATTCATACCATCTTTCTCCACATGGCTCTAAAAATCTCTCTTCAGCAGACAAGAACGAGACTGGTAAACTCACACACAGTATGAAATACGTAACCGTATTATAGAAACAAATAAAAACGAAACAATTACATATATTTAATATTTTTGTTTATTTTTAATTTACAATCTATCCAGGGAAAAATAGTTTACGGTTATTAGTCAAGCATTTAGTCTACTTCCGTTTCCAAAATGGCAACCATCGAAGAAGGAATGTAAACATGTGTTGAAGAAAGATGGCAATAACTATCAAAGAATATATTCTTTACGTCAATTTATTTGAGAAAAAAATTCATATTAAATTCATAAGTAAGTGAAATAAATTATTTTTAGTAAAGTTATTAAGTAAACATGTCAAAAGAAAACGAAAGTGCAAGCTTGAAATTTGCTACGATGTATTATCAATACATGTAGCTCTATACATCTATCTTTGGACTCGGTATGGAGCAATCGGCTATTCTAATTTTCGGCTATTCGGATAAAACAAGACTGACGACTTGACTATTCGATAAAACGGGAACCACTGTATTTGGTATTAAAACTTAATATAATTCAGAGGTGTTTTTTTTTTTTTCTTTTTTTTTAGAGTTTACATCTTGAATATGATTAAGAATATTTAACCTGTTACTGTTTAAAAAAATTTTTCTTTGGTTGTCCACTTTTTGCTAAATTTTTAATTCAGTCATTGAGAACTCAAAATACTCTAAATGTTGTGAGTGTATGTGTTTGGTATCGCAGATTAAATAGAATCACAAATAGATATACTTGTGGGGGATGAAACTGTATAAATTTCCATTTAAATGATAATTATAAGGGAATGTAGATTGAAACATTGAGTATGAGGATTATAGATATTTTTCCTATGATGTATTTTGCTTCGGAGTTATTCCCTTTTGGCCGCCATCTTGTAGGTCAAAGTAGTGAATTTTCCTCATTGAGCAACCAATTTTAAACACATACGCTAGAAATATATGGGAAAAAATATTTACAGTATTGAAATTATGAATTAAATGAAGCTTTAACAAACATTCACAAGGAAACAGTGTTATCTTCACCTCAGTGTCAGTATAATAAATTGAACTTGGTTGAATAATGAAGGGATCTGGGGATGTTGACCTACAATATGGCGGCCATGGGGAAATAACTCTTGCTTAAATCACCTCTATGGAAATCATCTATACCTATAATCTTTGATTTATTTATAGACCATCAGCGTGGTGGAAATATGTCATAAATGCCACACTATACACCATACATGAAAGAAAACGGAAACTCACTAAAGAGTTCATAACACAGAGAGTTAAGAATGTGTGTACCTATCACAGAGTATACTCAAACTTTCTCCAGACTCATCAACTTAATCCAGAGGACTCGGTAGGTAGCGAAAGTGAATGCTATGCGAAACTTTCAGTTGTTTTCTAAATTATGGGGTATGGGGAGTACCAACATAGTTTTTTGCTTGCATGAACATACATGTATATATTGCAGAAAATGGGGTTTTGGCCCAGTTTTGACCCCTGCATCATTGTTTCTTGATACTTGTACATCAAGTTTTTGTTGAAGAAGTATTATTACAGCATTTGAATAAATTGGATGTTGCAGGCTACCAAAACCAGACTGGAGACAGAAATGAAATTTGACGAGTTGAAAATTCTCAGAGAGCTGGCCTACTATCATGTGAAGAAGGAAGGAAAGCTCTACAAGGTTTGAGCTTTTGTGTTATGAAAACAAAATGTTTTTTATTGATAACATTTCGTATAATTTAGTAAATCAAAGCTATCCAGTTTTACTTCATCTGTACAATTTCTTTTTTTCTTCATTCTTTACTAATAATATGGAAAATAAGATTTGTAATGAAGTTGAATTTAATTTCTTGAAAAGTTGATAGTAGGTAGACTGTTTTTTTCCTTCAGATACCAGCACCAGAGAAGGCAGCATCACCACCACCTACAGAGCAGGGTGGTATCTTACAGAGGTGGTTCCCAGGGTGGGGTGGGTGGTATAGTTCTACCCAGACAGACATGGGGGCTACAGCAACGTCAGTGCCTGCCTCACAGGAAGTAGGGGAACCACCAACTAAATTAAGGAAAGATGTAACAGAGCAAGGTATAAATGAATATGCATAGATATATACAGAAGTACTAAGGTAATGAATATGCATATAGAGTTTCGCTTACAGAGCTACATGTACATGCACATAGACACAAATTTAATGAGTAAGTAATAGAAGAAACATTATATATATGTATGTGTACATATGTGGAAGTTTTGTCCGTGAAACTTTGTACATGCATACTACATTATGTACATCCAGGTAATGAATGACATACAGACCTAAACAATGAATATGGTCATAGGGTAAAACTTTGTGACTTGTATCAGAATATTATTTACTGTACGAGGGGCATTTGAAAAGTTCTGAGAACTGTTTGATAAAATATTAACCGTTTAAGCGTTTTAAGGGAAATAACTGAATTTGATATTATTGGACAGATCACAAAAATATGCACATATTGTGACGTCGCTTTGTAATTTTTATTATGTAATAACTCAGAAAATGACATCAGAATCTCGAATGTCTAGCATACTGACCATAAAAATGACGTAACAAGAGACACAATTTCAGTGAAATAAAATCTTAAAAGTCATCTTTTGTTCATTACTCGGATGCACGCTAACGGACACAACTACCAGTTGGAAAAATGTTTTCATAGACTACAGTCTATCATATGGAGTTCCTATAGTTCTAAGGTGGTTTAAGCATGTGTCAAACATAGCATGTTATTATGCTGTCAGAAAATCGCAAAGTTTACAATCACAGGAGAATAGTGGACGGTGTTGCAGAATTTGCTGGCATTAATTCGTCAGGTGTTTTAACCAATTTTGCGGGAACGATTAAAGCTCAAGAGAGGTTAAGCTACATGAGCTAAGGGTGTGCTTTATTTTCTCGTAAAAACCAAAATGGCGCCGGTGTAGTTCTAACTCCACCGTATCTGATATGTTCGAAAATTTTAAATCATGGAAATTAAATAAGATTGTACATGGCAATGAAACTCTGCAGATTTATTTTTTGAGTCGAAAGTCAAAAGCAGTAGTGAGTTTTGGATCGTCAAAGTTGAAATAATATGAAAAAATACACACAGAAACAAGTCCGGGGGAAGACTTTTGTGCGTCTTATTCATAAACGATAAGAATCCTGATACTAAAGATACATTTGTGGAAAACTGCATTGTTACACTTCAGTTTTATGTAGAATATCTTTTATTTAATATAGTGGAGAGCTATATAATAGACAGAAAATCCAGCTATATCATATAAATAAAAATCTTTTATGAGCGCTTAAGATAACATTACCCTGCTTATTTACCAAGCAAAAAAATAAAATATGGAATTGCGGATTTACCGTACCATTCTTACAGTCTTACTCTACCTCCATGCAAATTTTCTTTGAAATATCTTTTCAAAGAAGCCTTTGACAGCACTTTTTTGATGTTCTCATGTTGACAAAAAATGAGACTTTTCAGTATGCTAAACATTCGAGATTCTGACGTCATTTTTGGAGTTATTACGTCATAAATATAAGAAAATGAAGTTACTATAAGAGCAGATTTTCCAGCTCTTTTCAATGGTATCAAACTTATTAACTTCCGTGAAATGGTTAATATTTTGGCAAGCAGTTCTCAGAACTTTTCAAATGCCCCTCGTATAATTATGAAATGACTATGTATGTATATTTAGTAAAAAGAGAATTATTGCTTGATTAAATGTGTAATCCTAGTTTAAAAGCACCATCAAGATCAAGATGAGGTTTGACTAGAAAGATTCTTGGTCTCAGATTTCCATTACTATTATCTGGATGTATTGAAAGATACTGATTACTTAAGTGTAAATTTCAGAGATAGAACAGGAATTGATGGACGTTGTACAGGATACATCAGAGAACACCTCATTCCTTAAGAAGGACACTGTGTTTGCTTACATGAACTTTAAACTGGAATCAGGGGTCTTTAAACTCCTCAAAGAGCAGACAACTGCTACATCCCCAGCAGGTACAGGTACCTTACAGCATGGCTACTATGTAAAATACTTAATAATGCTGTGATTAAAGGGCGATAACTCTTAATTCTGTCAATGCTAATTGTGTAAAAGAAATAGAAAAAGAAATCATGCAAAAAGATTTATTTGACAAAAATAAGTTTTCAATATTTCAATTATCAAACCAATTTAAAATAAGATTTTTCACCACACAAGAACAACTGAAGCAGAGCTATGAAATAACATCTTAGATCTTGGCCATATACATGTACTAATTAGAAGGAGAGAAATGATTCAATTTCAGTTGAAGAATAGAAAGTTCTCAAGTTAAAAATATTGTCCATATCAATAAGAAATCATGCATACATTTTATCACAGGTACCTAAAATGACAAATGCATAAATAATGGCCAATATTCACCCAAACACAGAATGCCAAACCAAGATGGTCAGAAGATAAAAACGTGTTGATATTTAATCTGACACTAATTTAGAGTTATTAAAAGAAATTTGATTATCCCTTGACCCTTCTTACTTCTTACCAAATTTAAATATGATGATACGAAAGGTATGGAAGGTATGGGAACACACAGTGTATGTCTCTGAATGATGTTTTTTAGTTTCGAGCAGTCAGTTGGTGACAATGATGGAGCTGGAATGTTCTACAATCAACATACTGTTTGAATCAAGGCCTCGAAGTAAAGCTATGAAGTTTGGAGTTAATGTCGGGGGGCTGTTCCTCAGAGATAAATTTCTGGAGAATTCTTTATTCCCTAATATTATTTCACCGCAGCCAAAGGTATTGCTAGAAAAATTCAAGACTTATTTTTTCTATCATCATCATCTATTCATTTTCTGGTTCTTTGAATTCTTTTTTGTCTACCAATGCATTTTGATGAAGATTCAATAATTTTGCTGTCCAGTATTCTGCACCATTACAATACAAATGCTTAATTAGACTATAGAATTTTTCGGAACATTGCAGGAGCGAATCTTGTCCCTCTCTAAATCCCCCCAGAGCAGTTTTTCCTCCCAGACAACAAAGCCTCCATCCAGTCCCCCAGGCCAGGAGGCATCAGAGGATAAAATCTTCAAACTGTTCTTTGAGAAAAACAGTGCAGCTAAATATAGGTAGGTATCAAAAAGTTCCATTTCTATTAAAAATACACCCAGGCTTTGTGTGGCATTACTCTGCATTTTTAAATATACTGTGATGCATAGCATCAGTAAATTGTATATTTAGTAAATATTCTCTCCTTTATTCAAGGAACCTTTCTTTTCTATGGTTTCACAGAATTCAAACTTGTAAATTAAGCATGGTTTTTAAAGTTTAAACTTTTTAATGTTTTATGTTTACTTTTTTGCAGATTGGACATTCAGACTAAACCTCTGGATGTTGTTTATAACCCAGCCTCTGTGAGGAGAGTGAGGGAATTCTTTACCACAAGGAAACTCAGCAGTTCTCGCCTCTCACAACTCAAACTCACTGGTAAGATACTCTCACATGTCTTTCTGCTATTGATTATGTACATGGGAGATAATCTTGATTTGTGAGAGATGCATGTTCAAGTTATTAACAGAGATTTATTAAACTTCCTATTGACAGCAACTGCCAGACAGCAGATTCAGCAGATTAAAGAGCGTTCAAAGGCCGAACTCAAACATGCCCTGGAGGACTTGTTAGAAGGGGATGAAGGGGTAGGTAACTCTGTGAGAACTGTTAAAGCTACTGTAAACCAGCCCCCCAAAATATAAAGCAAAAAAAAAAAAAAAAAAAAGATACACATTTTATCCTTTATGGCTATTTGATTGTATGATTTGAATGTTTATAGGAATTGTCTATTTAAACTCTTAATTCTAATTCTTAATTTGGAGAAAGAGGGGAGGGGGAGTATTATTTTTGCTTCAAGTAACATTTTCCTGTCACCATTTTGGGAAAAATAATGTGTATTGAAGTTGATATTTGTTTTTTAAGATTGTTTGTTTTTAATCCAATAAACATTTGTCTTCAGAAGTACAGTCGATGGGACATAGACCTTGACATTTCAGCCCCTCAGATTATGGTTCCAGAGAATTTCTCAGATCAGTCCTCTAATATGATGGTCCTAGATCTGGGTCACCTTCACTTCTACAATAAGACAGCCGACAAAGCCACCACTAGTCAGACAGAAGAGGAAGATGGTGAGTTATAGATCTTTGTAAAGTACACAAATGATCCATTTTGTCTACTTAAGTTTTTTTGGAGACAAAGGCATTGTGTATATTTGTGAGATATTTTTGGCACAGAGACAAATGCATATAGTATTTATTTTGATATGTTATAGTTAAAAGCATGAGATTTTTGAGATATTTTTAGCTAAACTGCATATTTGTCATTCTATATGTGACAACTGTAATTGTAGACAATGGAGAAGATTTTCAGACCCCCATGTCAACCCCACCCAGTGAGGCAGAAAATGAAGAGAAACAAGAGGAGATGATGGAGACAGATGATCTGCCACACGCCGCACTGTCTGAGGCTCAGCTCTACAACAGACTGTATGAGAGGTATCAACTGTCTACCTAGCACCTATGTTTGTTAAGCCTTCAATAAATTTATTAAGTACATGTAATTAGCTGGAACAGTTATTGCCTTGAAATTCCTGACTTTAAGTTATAACTTTACTAGGACAAACTTTGTACTGTTAATGTTGTACAAGTTGAGTCCACTGGCCAGCAGACTCACTTGAGCCCACTGGCCAACAGATTTCTTGCATGCTTGTATGTTTAGTTTGTGAAATCTTCACATTGAAATTTAGGTTATAAAATAGTCATTTAGTTGTAATGTACATGTAATTCAGAAATTATAGTGTTAAATTCAGTTTAATCTGGTGATGTGTTACACACATACAGGTACTCATTAGACCTGTCTGACCTACAAGTAATGGTGGGGAAACCCCGAGACAACTGGAAACACATCAAAGGGCGGGGCATTACTCACTTCCATGTGGTGGACAAATTCAGCATCAATTTACACTTTGAGAGGTAAAGTGATATGCATCATGATTGCAAGGAAATTCTAGCAGAAAATTCTTGACATTGTTATTTTCAATGTTTAATAGTTACAAATGCTGAATTTTTAATTTAAAGCAAAATACTGGTAAAAATGATATTAGAACTTGAATTTGTAGTCTGCTATTAACTTTTCTTGATGAAAAAATTTGTATCACTCAGAGAACATACATTTTCAGGAGACTCCTTCACACTACGGACCCCGAGTTCCCCAGTATGATTGTTTCAGGAAATCTTCCTTCTCTGACTCTACATGTTAATGAACAGAAGGTATGGGTCTGTTGATCTAGGTAGCTATCCTTACAGTAATTACATATGTAGGAAATATAAGTAAAATGGATGCTTCTGAAGGATAGGTTGTTACCAAACTAAAAATTAAAGTAAGCTACAGGAACTGACACCTGGCACTTAAAGAGATTTAAGATTTATGTACTGAATGTATCTTTTTAAAATGTTTAGAAAGAGTATTAAAAGGTTAACAAATCATTACTGAAACACAATTTTCAGCATTCTTTTTATATTTTTAAAGGTGACTGCCATGAGGAAATGTGTGGACATCCTGACCACACCCACTGCCTTTGTGAGTCCCTATGCTGTACCGAGCTCGGAGAGTGCTGTATCCATGACAGAGTCTATATCAGCTGACTTCAGTGACATCAGTTCCTCCAGCAGTGGTACTGACAGCAGGTCTGTTATAAAGTGTAAAATCCTTTATTTTATAATATAAAATTGATATTCTATATATATTTATATATATAAGTTAATATAAATTTGATCTTGCCATGCAATCAGAAAGATAACAAGACTTGAGTAAAAATGTCAGTCATTCCTAAAATGTTTATTTGCCTAAAATGTACATGCAAGGAAATATTTAGTAAGCAACTATACAAGTATGTATGTGTGTAGACAATGTTCAGCTACACATACATTTGAAATTCTCTGTATTTGCTATTATAAGACTTAAAGGCTGTGTATTTGACTCAAGTGTAAAACTGCTATATGATCCCAAAACCTGATATGACTTCATTATTTAGCCTATTATAAGAAGGACCATTATATGCCATGTAGTGTCTTTTCAAAGAATTCTTATGTTTCTGCAGTTTGCTTTGGTTACTTCGAAAAGTTGCATTTTTGGAATGGTATAATTATGATTTTTTTCTTTTTATTGAATTTGTCTTATTTATGATAATCTTACTCTCCATAGATCTAATCAGGACAAGAAAGAGGATGACAAGACAGCTTCCTCTGTAGAAGAATCCCGTCTTCTCTGGGGGCAGTTCACCATCAACTCACTGAAGCTAGAAATTCACAGCTTTGGGAAACCTTTGGCAGAGCTCCAGGTTACTAACGTCATGGCCAGTGTAACCAAGCGACCGTTTGACACAGCAGTGAAGGTTTCTGTACACAGTCTGCTCATTGTGGATGCCCTACAGACGTACGGTCCTGATTTTGAGCTCTTGGTTGCTTCACACAAACATGTCACGTAAGAAGACTTTTATGAAAAGAATTTGAATTTTCACACAGAAATTGCAAAAAATTTAAGATATTAATTGTACATACATGTATTTTCACTGAAAGTGAGGTATTGTTTGCATTAAGGTTTGTTCCTTTTAGCCTAGAAGGAAATTAAAGGTAGAAAAATATAGAATTCTACAAAACTTTTTAGGTGAGCTGTTCTTTTTAATTATGAATTTTGTGAAACATTATTTTTAGAATTGACAGTAAGAGTGGGAGTCTTCTGGGATCAGATCCTTCCTCCCCAATGTCTGCCACCTCCCCTAATTACCCACAATCCCCTGCAGAGACCCTATCTCAGCCCTCCTACAGTAGTCATCTACAGACCGTCCAAGAGGCCATTAGTACAGCCATTCATTCCTTGTGGACAGCTACGTCCAGCATTGGGTCACAGGAGCGGCCAAAATCTGAGTCCCACCACAGCCACATATCTGCCGGGGTAGACTCGGAGGCCCTGATCAAGCTTGATGTGGACATCATTGAGGAGGATTCACCCAGTAATGACTACAGCTGTCCACTGAAAGTGGCCAACATTCAGTTCAACAATTTAGATGTCATAGGTAACTAGAATCACCAAATTAGAGACTGACATTCATGTATGATCCAGAAAAAAAACCCCTAAATCTTAAGAGTTTCTTTTGTTTTTTCCTCCCCATTGAGACTAAACTTTTTTCAAAGATTATAAAATGAATTGAGAAGATTCTTAGCACATTTCTTCCTCTTATACCTGTTTCAAGTTTATTTGTCAATTAATAAACAATTATTTTTATATTTGCAGGAAATTGTGAAACAATGATGGAAATGGTGAATTTTGTCAAAAGGCTGTCCCCATCCACAATGTCAAGTTTTGGTCCAGGATCTGTGAATAAATCCTCCATTGTCAGCAATATGGGAGCTGGAACCAGTTCATTGGTATGATATTATCGTTCTCTGGTTGTTACAATATGATATTCATCTCAGTTTGAATACTGAGATAGACATCTAGGAAAGTGTTTGAGGTAAAGATCCAGAAATATATGCTTGACACTTGCCAATTGTGTGCTTATTACTGTGTTACATGTACCAGGATGTGTACAGGTATAAGCACACAAGAAGAAAGAGAACATATACAGTCAAACTTGTCATAGCGGTCACCTCTATCCAGCGGTCACCTGTCCTATGCGGTCATTTTATTTCCTCCCAATGATATTTCCTATATAAAGTAACTCTATTAAGCGGTTACCTGTGTAACGCGGTCAGCAAATTTCAAACCAAATCGCCATTTTCCCCGGTCTTTAGCGGCCATTTTGTCCAATCACGTGACCTGATCTGGCGTCAGCTGATTCCTAATTTTTGTAATGTAAATAATTGGTCAAGTGTTGCGGGATCATGAACAAAAAATTAATAGATAGACTTTATTTAAAACCATTTATATTAATGGATAAGCATATGAATTATTTAACAAACTGCTTGTTTGTTTTACAAAATTCGGACAACAATGCTAATGACCGATAAAGTTAGCAGGAAAAAAACGAACATTATCGATCATAATTATGAGGACCTAAACTTACGGATTTGGAATCAGCTTTAAAAAAAAAAGAACAACGTAACCGTATTTATCTATTGATACATGTAAAATAATTTTGTCTCCCATTTACAGTGTGTAAGCTAATTACAATATCGCATGCCCAACTCCGAGAGCTGTGAAATGTTTTTACGCATGATAGGCATTTTTTCACACCTAGGAAACTTGTATGATTTGTAGAAACCATGATTACTGTTTATATACACAATGTGGCTTGAGTATGTCGTGAATTTCACAAGAGAAAACGACCGTCAGGGATTAGTAACGCTTCATTGCTCAGGACACCTGTGCACCTGTTTGATCAACTGAAAGTCAAAGTGACAGTGACTTGTTTGTGTATTATACAACAATTTGAATTTATGAAAAAAAATACATGTACAGACTGATGTTAATTTTACGAATCCAGTTTAGATAAAATAATATTTGATAAATTTTATTGATTTATATTATAGAAAAAATTAAGTTATTATGATGGAGGATAATGCAACACCCTGTAAGAATATACTGGTATTTTATTTTCTTGGATTCATTAAATTTAGTTTTAACTCATCTTCAAGTCATGCATCTATGGAATAAAGTTTTTAAAAAGTAAGTGAGACCACTGATGTCCTACCTATCTTTCTTCTATATTCTTTAGTGTAATAATATAAACACAGAACCGAGATATTTGTATAGAAATTCTTTGGAAAAAAAAAGATGAACCTCTATCCAAAGGTCACCTCTGTATAAAGGTCACTTTTAATGGATCCCGTAGGTGACTGCTTAATACAGGTTTGACTGTACATGTACTGTGTGAATAAATGTAGGTAGAGAGTAAATTTTTGATATTTAATGTTTAGCCTGACAAAATTGAGGTCACAGCAGACTTCAGCAGATTAAACTTCTTGGTGATGAGGATTGAAGAGACAGATGGAATAAAGCAAGCTCATAAGGTTGCTACAGCAACCATGTCATCTGCTAAAGTTGAGGCAACCATAGGTAGGTCCTGCAATTGGAATATTTTACTTCACTTTCAATTAAATATTTAATAAATAAATGAATATAATAATTGTAACTATCAGCATAAACATTTGATGGTTAATAGGTTGCAAAGTTAATGTGTACATGTTTGTACTTCACTAAAGAAAGTCTGGAGATGTTGATAAGGTCAAGATTTGTTGCATGAAGTTTTTGGTTGCATGGAATGAATAAGTATGATTTTTTTCTTTTACTAAAGACAATCATCTGGATGTTCAGGGGTCGTTGGGAGGTTTCCATATTCTGGACGTGTCTGCCGAGGACATCAAACATCAGCACGTGTTCAGTGTTGGATCACACTCAGCTCTCACTCAAGTCCAGGAGTTACCTGTCCACGACATTATGTACAAAACTGCCCAGGAGTCCATGTTCTTCACCGAGCAGGAGGAAGCATTCTCCTTCCATATTCTTAAGGGAGTACAGCAGACGACAACTTTACAGGATATGGAGGCATCACCTAGGATGAGAAGATTGTCAGGAAAGGAAGAAAAATTGATAAATGTGAGATTAAAAATGGCATCCATTTGTTATGTCCACTCGCCAAAACTTCTCCACGACATTGCTGACTGTTTTTCAGACTTTAAAGAGTACACCAGTTCCATGGCAACAACCATTAAATCTGCTGCTTCTGATGTGGCTACTAAAATTGTAAATAAGCGGACATCAGATGCTTCTATGCTTGGAAGTCTTTCAAATATAAATGACAGTACTTTTTGCTCCAATCTTTCTTTAGATGAAACTAGTCAATTAGAAAATTTCATTGAGGAACCTGAGACTAAAATTGTTTTAAGTGCACAGTTAGAAACTCCGGTGATTGTTATCCCTAGGACTGCTTCAAGTTCTGAAGTGCTGATTGCACACTTAGGAAAAATTTCAATCAATAATCTTTCCCGTGATACAATGCAAGAGGAAGGAAAAGAAATATCTGTGATATATCATGAGAGACTGAGTGTTGAGGCAAGAGACACAAATTTGTATGCAGTAGACATTGATAATCCGAAATCCAAAATGGATCCCTCTCTTGATCAAAGTGCAATGTACAATAGTGTTTACAATCAAAGTGATTGTGGAGTTCCAATAATGCATGACACAACCTTGGAAATCGTAATTGATCTTGGTCACACAAATGTTTCAAAGGAACAGGAAATTGAGACGGTTTACCTTGGAGAAGAGACTTTAAAGAGTAGCCCTCAGGATGTTCCGTCCTCTCAGAATGTGATTGAGATAATGGCCAAAATTTCAACTCCAATCAAACTAGAGCTCTCTAAAGGAGTCTATGAACAGGTGTTAGAAACTGTGGACAACCTGACCTATGATGAAAAAACTCATGGTACAGCTACTAACAGTTCCTCATCTACGACTTCTTCCGCGATCTCATTCTCAGCTAGTTTTGTGTCAGCAAAGTCAGACAAAAGCCGGGAATCCTTGCCGGACATTCCTGAAGATATTCCAAACACCAGTGAAGCAGTGCCATCTAAATCTGATGTAAAATCAGAGGATGCAGGGATGATCACAAGAATCTCTTTTGAGGTGCCTCTTTTCAATGTTGAATTGAAGGGGGATTTTGATGAGGGGGAGAAGGGACTTGTGGACCTAAAACTTCATAATTTCTCCATGGAATTTGAGAAGAGTAGTTCATACAGCACCAGTATTGAAATCCAGTTACAGTCTCTGACAATGGAAGATTTGTTAGTGAATGCAGATTCTGAGTATAAGTACATGTATCTCTTAAAATCTAGAGTTTCAAAAGCTGATGATAAGGAGCACATGAAACCAAAACTGTTCCTGTCCCATTCCTGCCCAGACAGTACGATTTTGATGCCAACTGCCTCACTACCATCATCCCTGCCTTCCAGTTTCCATGACAACTTGAGCAATTTAACAAGAGGTTCGGCTTCTGCTGTAGGTGCTGGAATAGCCTTCCAGCCCTCTAAAAGTAGAAAACCTACAGGGTAATTCAAAAAACTACTTCAACAATTCTGTGATAGTTGGAAGACTGCTTGAACTCATTCAGTTGTAAAGAAAAAGGTTCACTTAGGGCCTTTTTTCGCCCTGTGAATTTCTGAAAAACTGAAACTGCTTAGTTTTAGTTGACAATGCATTAAATTTCATTTAGACAATTGGCGATTGCGAATCTACCAAAAATGACATAATTTTCTGGCTAATCAATGCATTATGACATCATGAAATGCATCATTTTCCTCATATCCTGAACAATTCTACAAAAACAGCCAATTTTTAAAGCTATTTTTCGATATTTAATATAGAGCGCAATCTCTGATCTAAAATATGCAATTATTTACTGATAGAACCGTTTCTGAGGATTACAGAAGATATTTTATTTTTTAGAACAGAGGGTGCGCTCATATTATTTTTCTTCTCTGAAAGTACCTAAATATAGCTGTTTTCCTTAACATTCAAGAACATTGCAATTCCATAAAGCTTGTTTTCCAAGACCTGGACTTTAAGGAGAAAAATTTAAATAGGAAATGAATGCACTAAAGTTTCTACTTTATCTTGATGTTTAAAATTGAACATAAGGTGTTAGTCAATGAATTGGTATATCTACAGGGCCATTTTATGCATAAAGTGAACCTAGCTCTTTATCCCATAATTTTTTAATAATGAGTTATCAGTAATATCAGTCATGTCATTGCTTACATAAAAAAAAAAACACTGTCTGTACAAGTCTGTAAATACATTTGATTAGTGAAATTATGTTAGATTGAAAGTGCTTGCCTTAAATCAGTTCATATTATCTGTCACAGTTGTACATTGTATGTCTCATCCCATTAAACTTCCTGATTTTGTAAGTCATGGAGACCAAATGTGACTGCATTAATTATTGATGATGTTTTCTAGAAATTTGTTTACTAATATGGATTCATTGACTTAAATTGTGTTTAATAGGAAAGATTCCTGCCCCCAGACCCCTCCTCCATCTCTACGGACATCCAGACGATCATCTGTAACCAAACCTAAAGAGGACGATTTGGTTCACATCAAAGTACAGCTTATTGACAAAAACTCACCAGAATATTCAGCCAACTACAACAGGGTAACATCAGTTAAATTGTTATAAAATGTTGTACATGTACAAGGTAAATTATGTTTTATTAATATCTGGGTAGTAATCATCAGGTAAGTATTTTTTAAATTAGTTTTCATTCTGGTTAACAGGCAGTACTTGTGGGATTTTTCAATTAAATATGAATTCAAAGTAGAGTAATAATATTTTATGAATAATAAATGAAGATAGAAACAGCATTTAATTGGCAGTCTTTGTATTTCGTTACAGACAAACCGTTTTATAGATGTAGACTTTAACTGTTTGGATGCCAATGTTAACCTGCAGACCTGGGTTGTACTGCTGGACTTTCTGGGGATGGGGGCCAAAATTCCAGATGCCAGTCAGCTGGAGGTCAGCTTAGAGAAAGATCCAAGCCTGTCGCTGTCAGGTAAATTACCAGTCTGTGGTCAGTTCTCATGAAAAACAACCAGGGTTGTCACTGTTGGGTAAGAAGTCAGTCTTTATCTGTCATATAAAGAGTCAGTCTGTCACTGTGGGATAATAGTCAGTCTGTCACTGTCAGATAATAGTCTGTCACTGTCAGATAATAGTCTATCACTGTCAGATAATAGTCTGTCACTGTCAGATAATAGTCTGTCGCTATTGGATAATAGTCTGTCACTATCTGATAATAGTCAGTCTGTCACTGTTGGATAATAGTCTGTCTGTCGCTGTCGGATAATAGTCAGTCTGTCACTGTCGGATAATAGTCTCTCACTGTCGGATAATAGTCTGTCACTGTCAGATAATAGTCTGTCACTATCTGATAATAGTCAATCTGTCACTGTCGGATAATAGTCAGTCTGTCACTATCAGATAATAGTCAGTCTGTCACTGTCTGATAATAGTCAGTCTGTTGCTGTCGGATAATAGTATCTCGCTGTCGGATAATAGTCTGTCTCTCATTGTCGGCTAAAACAATCAGGCAGAGCCACAATAAGAAATAAGGTTGTGGAATTAATGATAAGGAATATTGTTTATAAAATACAAAAAAAGGGGTGTTTTAAAAATCAATTTTCAACTTCAATTTTTTTTCTTGCCAGCTACATGGACGTATTATTAATTTGTCTGATGTTGATTCTTGCAGTTTCTAATGAGCCTTCTGTTAACTCGGTTGTTAACCTAAAAGTAAAGAGCTTCACGTTAATCCTGAACAAACCCGAATATGAGTTATCTCGAGCCAATGTTGAGTTGCTGTCAGCTAATGTCAACTTGAGAGATGAGAATATGGCAATCTCAGGACAGCTGGGTAATCTATCACTGATTGACAAGTCGCCCCATGGTAACTTGTACCGGGAGAGATTTGTCACAGTGGGTGACCAAGCTCTGGTGTTTGATATATTCAAGTAAGAATTATTTTAAACCATTTACTATTTCATAAAATTTCATACATGTATATGAATGTGTACTTCTTTGAATATGATCAAGACTTTGATAATTCTACATAGAATTACCATGTTACAACAATGAAACAGGTGATTTAATGATGTTTGTTTCAGATACGGCCCTCCTGATCCTAATCTAGTGAGAGACTGTGACATCAGTGTTAAATTACAGATGGCCTCAGTTCGATACATCCACACTAACAGATTCCAGATGGAGTTTGTGGCATTTCTCCAACACTTTCTACAGCTTCAGGATGTTCTAGGGAGGTACCGAGCAGCCTCTGCTGGAAAAAGGGTAAAAGATTTAATTTAAAAACACCAAACAATTATATAAATCATGTAAATATTATCTATGCAACTGTACATTAGCTTATTGTAGTAGAATTCCTATATTTGACCCCATTTATTTTGAAAGTGTGCTGATTTAGGAATGTCACTCAAAATATAATTTCACATGAGTACATTTTAAAACATAGCTTTTAAATAATTCCATCAAATAGCTCCTGGCAGAAGTTGCTAAAATAGATACAAAGTATATGAGAGCATTCTCTATGTTTGTTATAGGTGACAGACAAGGCCACCAGAGGATCTAGAATCAAACTGGACATCAATGCAGACTCTCCAATCATCCTGCTACCACACAGCTCTAAGACTACAGACATCTTAGTGGCTGACCTAGGAAAGCTGACGGTAAACAACTGCTTCATTTACGATGGAGAACCAGGGACCTTGACTTTTGAACAAGACGACAGTGATTTGATGAGTACGCGGTCACGCGAATCAATGTCTTCTATGGCTTTGTCAGAGACCAGTGACTATTCCATAGACAGTTCCTCTGCTGCCACTGGGATGACCCAGAGTCTGTTCAACAGTTACAACCCACCAATGGCAGCTATGGCAAATCCCATGCTTCAGAGTATCTATGGAAGCTTGGACCAAGATCAGAGGTCCTCAGTGAGTGAAGTCCGTGATGAGTGTGATATTTATGACCCAACAGAAATAGGTACAGGGAGTGCAACAAGGTCACCGAGGTCACCAGAGGGCAGCAGTGTGGATCCAGAATTTTTCCCTGATTCAAGCTCCTGCTTTTCCAGTTCAAATAACCTAACCTCCCAACACAGGTTACGTATTAATGATAGCATGAGGGAAGGGAAAATTAAGAGGACCCCATCCACCAGTTCCCTGAATCATCCTAAGATACCGAAGTTTGATGGTGACCATATTTGTTTACTGGACATCATGAATATTCATCTGAAGGACATGAACTTGTATTCTGCAGAGCGAGTGAACAAACATGATTACAATGGGTCTGGTCAAGATCTGGAGTTCAAGTCCTTTGTGGTGCAAAAACAGGTAGGAATTTAAGTGTCAAATGTTACGTCTTTTACTGAAAATACATGTCACTGAATTGCATATACACATGTAGTGCTGTGTTCTGGAAAACTCCAGAACTAGCATTTAAACTAATGTGGAAGGGACTTGTAATATTGTAATATTTCATGAGTCTCAACTGTTTTGATAAATATTTTTAAAAAACCCATAAATGTTCATGTAAATGATTATTTGTAAAATTAAATGTTAAGTTAGAAATAGATGATATAGATTAACTTTGGATTGAATTCATATTGCTTTGACTGGGTAATTCCTCCATTTTAGGGTGGGGACCCCTTGAAGGAGAAGATTCAGCTGACCCTGGTGGTGGAGAGGAATCTTGAGGGGGACATCAGTCACTCCGCTCCGGACTTCAGGGTTAAGGGCATCCTGTCCTCTGTCCACTGTTCCCTGGACATTGCTCAGTACAAACTAGTCAGAGGGATCCTGGACCATAACCTGGGAGAGAA